ATTTTGACTAAACAAATTTCCTTACTCAGTTTTTAGTTATTGTGGAACAGTTAAACTAATTTTTGATGAACACTTAGAGAATTGTGTCTTAGCACCTTCTACTGGCCAGTTTGATTCAAAATAAATAATGGCCAAAAGAAATCAAAACTCAGTTAGTGTTAGAAAAAGTAAAACTGTTTTGTTTTTGTAAAAATAAGTTCTGAACACTGAAGTTACCAAATTGCACTGAATAACTCGTAGAACTATGAAATTCAGAGCATTTTGCTTAGAAATATTCAGGTGTGCATGCCACTGAGATTTAGATGGTTTGAATGTATATATTATTGTACATATATATATATATATATACATGTTCTAATCCTGTCATCCTTGAAAAATCAAAACAACCAAGGCAATACATAATAGATTATCAACCATTTGTTGTGGCCAAAAATAATTGGAGAGAAAATTAGTTTCCTTAAAAAGAATTTAAATTTTCTATACATTACTTGAGATCATTAGTATTAGCTAATTACACCAATTTGGCATAAAATGATAGTAATCCCTTCTCCTTTTTACTATTAAATCCTTACAAAACAAAACACAACTTAATATCTGTTAAACTAGTTGGAAGAATTCATGACCTTTTCAGAAGCTTAGATAACACACTCCAGCAACTTGCATCTATGAAATAACCCTTCTTGTGTTCCAAGATGAATTAATACGAAAATAATGAAAAAAGAACACATATTATTAGTTTTCAGCTGTTATTTATGAGAAATAGTTTTTTTACTACTGAAATTTTAATGAAAACATAAGATTATTTTTCAGTACTACTTATAAGGCACAACTTGTATTTTTAAAGTAATTTCAAAGTTCAGCAAATACAACCAAGTATAAATGTTTTCAGGTAATTACACCACTTATGTGAGATTTATTCAAATCCATCAACTTTAAACTTTAATTATAGATTATCAAAAAACTTATAGACACAGAAATGAGTAATTCTTCTAGTCATTTATAAGTATTCTGCTCATACAGATAAGACAGACAAATAGATACATAACCAAAGTTGTTGTTCTTTAAGAAGTGTGATCTAGGAAGATTTGAGAATACCAATCATTCGTGTAAAAAAATTATTAATAAGTGTGGTATATAATACTGCTTTAGTATAATGTGTTGATATGTACAAAAAATTTATTTGCTGATTTACAAATGTAAAATTTGCAAATCATCTTTTTGTATCAAAATTTACTGTTTTTATGTAATTTATCTTTTATTTTCGTTATAAAACCAGCTCTCAAAATTGGTTTCGAATTGGACTTGCATTTAGAGTTTGATTTCACTTTGCTGCTAGACTTCATACAGGTAAAACCTGATAGCATATCTTCTCCATTGTGTTGATCTTTCTTCCTTTGATACCTTTCTCACTAGAATACATATTTTTAGCATTCCCACACTGTAGATTGCAAATCAGTGCTAAAGTTCTGAGGTGCTTTATGATTTGCAAATTGGCAATCTTACTGTACAAGAATAGATGAAAATGTGTGGCAAATTAAGTACAAACTAGGTACTCTCTTCAGGTGATGTTGCTATACAATTAGGGATAAACAGGTAAAGTATTTTGATTAGCTCCTGCTGATGAAGAACACAGCATGAAAAGTTATATTAAAAATGTGTATAAATGTATTTCTAACGAATTTTCTTTTAATAAGTCCACTTTGTTTTTGCTTAATCCTCTGCCATAGTTCAAGTCTGAACACTTATGTATTAAAGATGGCCATTCTGAGAACCAGCATGTGCTACATTGTGGCTTCTTATAATCATACATGTGTAGCATGGATTACCATACTATTTTATCAATGGCCATTGCCAAGTAGTAGCTTTTTTTTCTGTTTATGAATTTACCTGATGGTAAATATAAATAATGACATACTTTTGGTATTCCACAACTACTATTTTGTGAATTTATTTTAACTTTTGACATTCTATTCTACCATTTAGGCATAGTTTCTATGACTAAAGAAATACCAGCGAGAATTTTAAATTTCATTAATAATTTTTTAACTTTAACATGTAGAAAAAGAATACAAATATTAATAAATTTATAATTAAAGTAATTTCTTTTTAGGTACATTGTGCCACTATGTTAAGAGTAAAAAACACAAACACCAACGTTTTTCGGCACAATTAAATGTAAACTCTTTTATTATTAGTTAAAGCCCACTAGCTTCAGTAACTTTTAATGATGTTAAGTATGTTACCCAAACTAGTCAGCATTAACTAATAATAAAGATTTTAACTTTCATTGTGCTATAAAACATCATTTTGGGTGTCTTTTACTCTTAGTATCATAATTACAGATTGGGAAAAGTCAAATCAGTATGGAGACAAGTTTTTAGAAACTGTTCAACATAGTTTTCATCAACAATTGGTTAAGGAACAATGCTATTTCCAGTTTATTGTTAACTTCTAATAAAGGAATGGTTGATAGAGTAGACTGTGGAACATCTGTGTGCAAGTGAAAATGGCTCAATTAGATTTAATGTTTTACTGCATATGGAGATAAGAAATAATAAGATTTGGGTTCCAAATATTGAAAGGATGAAACAAGAATTATCTGCTATGAATTGGGCAACAAAATTAGTTGGACATATTACTAGCATGTGGAAAATTTGTTAAAATAAATTCTTAAATATCCAAAATAGGCATATTCCTTATAGATCAAAAACAAAAAGGTGGCTGCAAATAAAACACCAGAATGGCTCACAAAGGGTACAAAGAATTATATTAAAGAAAAGCATTATACACATAGGAAGTTTAAACACAAAATTAAGAAATCAAAAACTGTATGAAAACAAAAAGGTTGGCTGAAAATGTAAAAATTAATAGTAAAGATTTCTTCCAATACATTAGGGGTGAGCAAAATATTAGGATGGAAATAGGGCTTTTGAGGGATGATACAGGAAGGCTAATAATCTGATGTTGGGTTATTAAAATATATTTTTCTTCAGTTTTTGTTGATGAAAATTTAAGCAATATTCATTATTTTGAACAGTTGCTAGATGGAAACAAGATGATCACATTAATTCAGAGGTTGCTACAAAAAACTTGTGAAGTTTATAAAATGATCAATCTCCTAGACCTGATATTTACCCAAGGGTTTTGAAAGAGGTTAAGGATTGGATATGCAAGTCACTTGCTACTACTTTTACAAGTCCTTGAATATTGTGTATGTGCCAGAAGATTGGAAATTGGCTGATGTGATAAAAATAGTTTCAGTAATTATAAGCCTATTAGTTTTAGATCAGTGGTGGTAAAAGGTGTATTATATTTATTTTCATATTTAATGGTAAGACTAGAGGGCACAAATATAAATTTTGACACAGTAGGAGTCATTTTCAACTAACACAGCATTATTTTTCTCACAGGTGGTTGACCTATAGATCAGGTTGCCTTCAGGTGCAGTTAATACAAGGGAATGCTTTATAGGTATTTAAATGATAAAGGCTGGCTTTGAGTTTATTATTTATCTTAATTTAATGGATATGATGGTCTAGATCGACCAGAAGCTTCCTTGTTCTTTAATGCTATATCTCTTCCATTTTCCAATACAGTTACTGTCTAATAAATCTGTTAATTATGAATCATCTCAAAACACTTAACACCTTGTAAAGCATGTCTGAGGTTAGTCAAATGAGATTTGAAAGGCTGTTTTTTCTCACTACATTTATCTTTAAATGTCATTTGTTTCTCACTGCCACTCCTCCCAAAACATACACTGTGTTGAAAAATCTCACCTTCATTCGATAGGTTCTGGGCTTTCATACATTACATAGCAAATATGGCATCACAGATAGTGTTATGATCCCACACAGAAGAGAAAAGAATTTCTTGCTTTAAAAATTAGCCTTCTATTGAAGAGCACCTCTGATTAATATGAACTATGAAGGTCTTCACAGTTCCAAAAGTTGTGTGTGAATCAACTTCCTCATTACACAAATGACATATGAATTAATTAAAGTTTCACACACAGAATACATTTGCCTTGAAAATATCAGTATGAAAATCCCTATCACAGCAATAATAAATCTGCTTCTTCTATAGCAGCATTTCCCAACTGGTGATCCATAAACCTCTAGTGGTTTGAGAGAGAATTCTCAGAGGTTTGGGAGAAAAATTTGGCTATAGCATCTTTTTCACTTTCTTGGTTCTACAGTTTTTACCAATATTTTAATTTCCTTCTAACTTATTAAAATACAGAAGGAAATAGCTTGATGCAGAACCATATCTAAGACTATCTCTCTCATCTGTTGAGCCAAACTTTAAAACACTGTGTTCTTCAAAACAAGCTCAGAAGTCTCATTAGTTAAATGGTTTTGTTTTCAATATTTTGTATTATGTTTCAAGAATTATATTTCAATTTTTACTGAGTACTAACTGCAAACTGATAATAACAGAGATTCAGATTTCACTGTAAATGTGTTACATACTTACTGTGTGTTACAGAAACTTTTTATTTTCAATAAATTCAACATGTTCAAAAGTTATTTTATTTTACAAAATTTATTACTGCTTAAAAGGGGTTCGCTGCAAAAACTATTATTACTCAAAGGATTCACGAAGAGAAAAAGTTGGGAACCACTGTTCTATAGCAACTGTCATCAGCCTCCATAGAAGTTTCAAGTTCTTTAAGCCAAAAGATATTTACCGCTTAAACAAGAAATTGATAAATGAAATAACCAGAGGGGCACTCAGTACAGAGCATACCTCTGCAACACAATGTTGATCATATTTGGCCCTCAAAAAATACAAAAGACTGTTCGTATGTCCATCATCATTATCAATAAACAAGGACCATTTTTGGAAGGACAATGAGGAATAATATTCTACGCATGTCCACCAAGTTTCACCAAAATTCAATCATTTTTGACTGAGTTATAGAGCATAAATAGTGTGAAAAATCAGTCCCCATGTTAATAGATAGGGATTTTTTTTTATTTTCATAACCTTGATATTTGACCATTAAAAAAACTAATCACTTCTAAGTTGGGTCATAGTCCAAATTTATACCAACTTTCATCCAAATCCATTCAGCTGTTTTCAAGAAATCTTCCTGACAAACACACATAGGGTTAAAAACATAACTTCCAGCCAACTTTGGTGGCAGACATAATTATCTATTATAAAAATTATTTATACTGGTGAAAGTTTACTTTAAGCATGAGGATTGTAATATTTTTCTGTAGAGATAGAGCGTAAGTGGAAAAGTGATAAAGATATACTCAGCAGTGAGACCCTCTGTATTATAACTGTTTTCATTGATGTAAGTATAGAATTCTATCATCTCATATTATTTTGAAAATTATCCTCCCCAAACAAGTATAGCTATTTAAATTCACTCACCTGGGATTTTGTTTGCCCCCCTTTAAAGGTTAGGTATTTTTATTCTTTCTTCAAATTCACAGTGAGCACTGTACAGAACATCTTTTTACAGTTACAAAAGTAGTGAAAACGTTTCTCAACCTGAATTCATACAGAGAGAATTAGAACAAAATTGTGCAAATTATTGATTCCTTATTACATAACATTGAAAATGTACGAGATAACTAAAGACAACAGCAGTAAATCATAAATAGTAATTAATGCAAACTAAATACATGTTTAACACTTATATAAATAGGTTTGTGCTGAATCTAATTGTTTGGTCAACTGTCAGGTATACGATAAAAAAGTAAACTTAATAATGGACTTATCTGTAAAAATCTGAATCTTGTTAAAAAGAAGAGTATCACAGAAAACTTATAATTTCATTTAATTTTTGAACATTTTAGATTTGACATATTCCATAATCAGAAAGCTGTAATGATATAAAGAAAAATTATAATACACATACAACATACACTAAGTTTGGACATAAAATAACTAATAAATAAAGTCATGACTAATTATTAATTTGTAAACATAAAAAATGGTTGAGGGTGTTTGGCTGAAGCAAAGGCTAATTTTTAAAAACTTTTCCTATCATTTTTCATCATTATCATTATGTTTAGATATTACCTTGGTAACTGTTTAAGTTACAAATATTTATTCCATATCATAAATCCTCACTGTATACTATTACAACTTACTAATGAAGGAATATGCAAGTTTTAAAAGAATTATAATTTCATGCACTTGTGACATTTGCTTCATATTTAATGAAAGAATAATCTTATTTTGTTATGCCTGATTAAAAATGCACATGAATTCAGTCATGAAATTAATAACTAATGCTGTGATTAGAAATACTACAATTATGGTCATCTGTTAAGTCACCCATTCTAAATCTACATGTTAAAGAAAGCTGGGGAAGAATCTTGTTTACACAACATGTGACCAACCTGACTCTATATTATGGTTAACTTTCTTTTCTTTATGTGCAATTTTTCAAATAATTTTCCCCACCTCCAACAACAATCAATTAAATTGTGTGTGATACAAGCAATACTAGTTAAAAAGGATATTGCAATTATACAGTTTTGGTGGTTTTAAACTTTTCTGAAATAACCTTTCTATTAGTTACAAAATACACTATAACTCTGGAAAAAATGTGATCAAGTTGGTGATAGAAAGGATAAAAGTTCATAAAAAAATATATTAGTCTTTGAAGGTACGATCTCACTTCTTGGACTTCACAGTAAACTGGATTTAACATTTCCAACACATTGAAACAAAACATGTTGCAATATAAGACACTACTTACATGTCTGTTAATGTCAAAACATTGTTTTACTAACAATTCAAACAACAGTTATATCAGTGTGTTAAGATTTTATACAATATCCATTCATGTGAAATGAGGCAAGCTTCAAGTTCAAAAGTTATTTTTTTATTATTTGTAAGGGTTATATATATATAGTTCTTTGACCTTTGAGTCTTGGGAGTTCATAAATACATTATCATTATATAAATTTAGATTCAACTTTTTATGTATTAATTTATTTAAATATTCATTCAACTGTTATCTCACTATAAACTTAACATTAATTTTTGAAGATGTAAATCTGTAATTGGGCTGAGATACGTCCTAATGGTAGGTCATACATCAGTGGAGTGAAGCATATTTTTATAGATTCTGATAATCATTAGCTGTACAACTTTTTAAATTAATTCATTGTGTAAAGAGGTTGTCACTTATGGATACATTTTTTTATATTTCCATTATATTTTTTCATGAAGTCATCTAAGGTAATTAAAACATTATGACAGTTATTTTCAGTTCTAAATAAGTTTACTGTATTTGATTTAATAGCAAATTGTGTGTGAATTGATACAAAATATATTTACATGAAAATCTAAAAGTACAGGATTTTTCCTTCATGAAAAGCTTTTTTTTTGTTTAAATTCATTGCAGAAATAATGTGATTTTGCAGTTTGAAATCTTGAAGCAAACCAACAAATTATGTACAGGAACTCAACTAAATAAACAATTTCAGGCTTTTGATTTGCTTTGGACAGGTAAATAAAGCTTAAACTCTGCTGGAAGTTCATCTTCTGAATACAAACGATCAGAAAAGTATACTCTTCGAATCCTACAGTTGGCATGGATCTGAAAAAGAGAATTAGTTAAAATTTTGATTAAATCAATTGTTTTACATTTTTAGTAATTAATGCCCCAGTAGCTGACTTGATTATATTCAGTTTTTAAGTTATGACGAGAGAAAATTTCTCACTCTTTAACTGTCTACCTTTCAAGGCACCATACACAATTTTAAATTTTTAGTGCTTAGTTCACAAATATTATACATATGCAGGATAAATTAATAATTTCCTAATTAAGGCTTTAAGTGTGCTTTTATATGTGCAGGAAGACAGCAGACTATTGATTCCAAAGAGAGACAGAATTTCTATCTTTAAAACTTGAGGTTTACACACCAAATGCAACAACTTGTGGAAAAACTTGCTGTAATACTTAGTTTATTTTTTAACTGTAGGTTATAAACACAGGTATGCACTGTCAAGATTATAGGAATAGTGCACCAGAAGATTTTTTTCTGATAAGTACTTAACTCCTCTCACCCAAAGCTATCTAAATCTTCTTTCTGTCCCCTAAGCATTGCTAAAAAATTCTAATTCCTAGTGCACCAGTCTATATTCCCCCACACATTTTGCACCATTTTTGAATATGTATATAGCATGTGACCACCCTTAACAATAGTATTGCACCACCTACATTGGCACAGCTAGCTTCCAGATCAGTCCTCATTTTTCGAGACTTGGCAGGATCGAAAATGAATAACACTGGCAGTGGGAAGGAAGGGTGGGAAAAGTGCGAGAGCCTATAGAAAAGACATTTTCAGTTAAGAAAATGTTAACTTCCGACATGGTCTTACCTCCTGCCACACAAAACTAGAATCCCACACTAACAGTAAAACCAAGTAGAAAGCAACCACCTAGAAATAACTGGTGCACTCAGAGACAAAATTGAAGCACACATGCAGAGCACTACACTACTTCTGTAATAGGTATACTTTTTGCTCTGTAAGAAGGAAATGAAACTAACATGAGCAGAAAAACAAAAAGATGTGCACAAGCTGAAATCGTTCTGAGAGGTGCAATCCATAGTAAAAAATGGTACAAGTTCAAATTGTCCTCCATCGCACAAAACATACCAGAAAACAGCAGGCTCCTGTAGGTGAACAGCTCCTTTATGAAATAAAAAGTTGAAGGGAACTTTATACTCGCAGGAGGAGAAACAGCAAGTCGAGGGACAGTTTGCCAAAATATAATGATGGAGGTAAACATTTAGTCATGGCTAGGTGTCTACCCAACCTTAACTGGACAAACGATGTTCCACAACCCATCCTCCGGCTTAGGTGGCTGAGAATTAC